GGAATAGTATGTTGCGTTCTGGATTTCATGGTTTAGTTTGTGATGTTTTATAAATAAAGTTAATAGCAAAGATTGGTATAATTGGTGACCCCATGGTCACTCCATCAGTTTGTTTGTATAGTTCACTGTCGCATTAGAAGTGAACCCTCTTCAAACAAAGTAATATTAGTTTTCTTGACCCATTTTAAGGCAAAGGAAGTAGTTCAAATTGTTTTAAAATTATATTAATAGTCTCCTCTAACGTTACGGTCACGAATAATTAGCAAAAATTAATAGATATCAACACTATAGGGTTGTTAAGATTGTTATTATCATGTGCTATCTAATGACTAGATTTGAGAGGGAATTCCCGGAGTTCTAGTGAGAAGCCATGACCAGTGGAGTTAATCTGTGTCAGGTTTGAGGCATTTTCTCACCAAAGACAATGGAAGATGGTCATTCAATATCATGAACTGGTTGAAGTTAGATATTAATATAGTTGGATCGCAGCTCAGTTGTCTAGTAGAGATTAAGAGTTCAAGCGAGACCGGAAGTCGTGCGTTTGAGTCACGCGTGCAGGGTCGTGGATATGCACTGCTGAAAGTTCACACGCTAGGACGAAACAGCCATTCAGTCCTTCCAGACTTTCAGTAATGGTCCAACATTAATCGGTTCATAATTTCAATTAAAAGAATTTATCTAATATGTACTCAAATGATCCATTTCTATAGAATACTAAAACATCTTTTAAACTGTGAAACTATTTTTCTACGAACTGGTTTTCATAATTTAACTAACCATCAAACCAACTTATGATATGATGAGTTCACCTTAGAAATCACAGATCTTAATGGGATACAGGATTTGTGGATTTTAGGGGGATCATGCATTAAGAACAGTACTTACCGTTTTGCTGTCAGATTGCTACTTAAAAACTTTTATGCTTCTGATTGCTATTTTTCTTAGATTTATGAACTTAGAATCCTGAAGTACCATTGAGAATGTGGAATATTTTATACACATAATCTTTCTGATTCATTATTGCAACAGCGAAATCTTTATTTGTCTTATTATTCTTTTGCAAATTTTTCAATGCTGGCACATGTTCCTTAGTTAATATTTTTGAACCAGTTTGAATATAAACCAGCCTATTCTGCCTGCATTCATAGGTTTCAAGTCGGTTATTTGTTAGTACAGACTTTCGAATTACGTTAGTATATCAACCTTGCTGACAAATTTATTCGGGATATCAAATTTAAATCCAAGAGAGAGAGTGTGTGTGTGTTCTACTCCAGAGATTCACGGAATTCTCCATATATTCAGTCTTTCACCAGGTATTTCATTAGTCTTTTGTCAAAAGATTTGGATGTGTCACGTTTTTGAGAGCTCTCAGACGAATTTTGTAGAACTAATTCGGCAGATGATATTAAGATCATCAATTAGTTTTTTTAAATAAATACAGCTCGTACTTCAAAATTAAAGCAAACGTACTAGATGACTTATTATGTACTTATTACTGTCAATATCAATAATTGACTACTAGATAAGAGGTCATTTTACCGATTATACAGAAGAACGCCAAGTAATTGTTAATAAGTAATTCTCGAAGTCCTAGTAAGAGGCTGTAATGCGATCAATCCAATGAAGACACAACTCACCAATAACCTTCGGTAGAGACAATGTTACGTTACTTTTGTATTCTTACCCATTCTACAAACAATGAGATTCGTTAGTTTCACCAATCTATTCATTGATGCGGTTAATATGAAACGCGAAATCCCACGTTTCTTAATCCTGAATCAAAACATTAGGTCAGGTGAATGGTCGTATGTTATGCATTCGTAAAATGTAAAACGACAATGCAACACAATTTATCGATCCCAATAGGTATGTAACAAGGATGATTTCAATATAAAGTTAAGTAACAAATTTTAATTAATTAAATTGTAATTTATTAATGGAGAGAAGTATGACAAGGATTAATACATTAGGAAAAATAGTATACAATTAGGATTATGCAAGAATAGCAGGAAAGAAAACTATTCTATCATCAATATCACTCATAATATGGGTTTGAATTCTCTCATTGTTTATTCAATGCGAAAATCAACACCTTAGTTTATTTACATTCCAATGTTGACGAGTTTAAAATAGGACAAAACAATAGCCACAATTCACCTAATGAACTTAACAGGTACTTGTTAAAAAATATATGAAGAAGTTCACTGGAAATAAATGCTAAGACGGAAGAATAATTAAATGGTAAATTGAATGAATATTCACATCTTACTGTATATGGAAATTCTAGAAGAGAAATTTCTTTTAAATACACGGAGACACACTTGTAAAAAATAAAAATTGATTTTAAAGTTACGTAATAACAACATGAAGTCTTGATAAATTAGTAAAGATAAGTAAATATAAATAATGATATAAGAATAAAAGGAAGGAATTTGTTATTGAGGATAAAAAAGAAAATATTACGTAACTGAATGACGAAAATTAGAAGTTACTATGGTAATACAAAGTTATGGTTTCAACTTTTTAGTTGATGTAGCCTCAGGTTAATGTAATCAGTAATTTGGGTATTAATTGTTTTCAATGATTTTAAAATATCAACATTGGGTTCACTATGAAGTAGATGACGGGTAATGACACTGTTGAAAATACGTTGGATGGGCTCCAAGATCAGAACCCGTTTTGCTCTTATAGTGTAAGTGATCTAACATTGAACATAGTGGAAATTTGTCTACTTTTGTTTGTTTCTATGAAAAACTTGTTTCATAAAATGAAACTAGTTAAGCAGGTGAATACGTCCTTCTCAATTCGGTACTTAGTCTGAAATGAATCATGTTGGCTGTTTCACCAACTTTAATGTTAAGCTAGAAAAATACTGAGTTATTTTATATCTTAGCATATTCCATTTCCTTTACTCGATTTTTATCATACTTACTAATAAACTTTTATGGGTAATCAAAGATTTTCATTTCATTTCATTCTGCCAAATTTGTTATTCTCAGTTTAGTCAAATGAATAATTTCGTTTTAAGCTGTTAACATTTTTTCTATCCGGTCAACGGACAATTGTTTATAAATACTATTACCTTCTTGATGATGGCGGTAGTAGTTCTCCAAATTTCAGCTCCATAGAATAGACCTGTCTTGACGTTCGTATTGAAGATTCTCATTTCGATACTACGTGACAGTAGTTTTGAGCGCCATATGTTCTTCAACTGCAGGAACGCGGTCCTTGCTTTTTGTTATGAACTTGATGTCTGGCTTTCTATCACGCGACTTATCGACCAGTCAGAATACGACTTATACGATTTCGCACTATGCCAAACCAATGACGTTCAACCGATATGAGCAGTTTGGCGTCTTGATTGGTCCCATGTCCGCCTAACCCGTCCACTTGAGTAGAGAACACAATACTAGCTACTGTAATATGAATCGAATCGAATCAGATCAGATCTTTTATTCCAGACATACTGGGTTTATATATCAATCAGACAGACCACAACGTACCATAAAATAGAAAATAACATGTGTACACAAATAAGCCAAAAAGTGGCTGTGAACGAGGGGGACAGTAATTAATAGACTGAGCATAGCTTAAGAACTGTAAATCGTACAATAATAAATTATAGGTCAAAATAAAGCTTATAATAAGAGGAATATAAATATACATAATCTAACTATTCAATATATACGAATATTCGTCAAGATTAGAACGAATAGTTTGACAGTAATTGAGCGCCGAGTATAGAGAAGTCATTATATGTGAAAATTATATTTGAAATTATCTTTGATAATTTTGATTTTGATTATTACCCTGAAGAAGTCCAGACAAGTTAGCCGGACGAAACGTTGGAATTAGTTATATTTCAATCGCTGAGAATATTTCAAATATAATTTTCACATATAATTATTCAATAGTTTTACAATAAGAATATTTATAGAATATTAGTCGATTAATAGGCCTCAAAAGTTACCTGTAATTTAATCTTCACTGGGTTATAACACTTTTCCATCTGCATCAGATACTCCTTGTTCATCGATAATGCTGCCTAGGTACGTGAAAATTTCTACCTCTTCCAGATTTTGTCTATCAAGTGTAATTCGGCTGGTGCTCTCCGTGTTGTATGTGAGGATCTTGGTTTTCCCGTGTGTATGTTGAGGTTTACTGCTACAGAGGTTGCTGCTATACTGGTTTTCTTCAACTGCAATTGTTCGTGCGTGTATATATATATATATATATATATATATATATACTGAAATGATCATCCAATAGTCAAACGAAAAGTAGAACATGTGTACATCAGTTCAAGTGGACAAACCCCTTTAGCGTAGAGACATGAAATTATTAGGACAGATGCCGCCGTAGAAGAGATAGTAACAGTATTAACGCTCATAGAAAAGTTTAGCCAGTGAATATACGTTCCAAGAATATAGAACTAAGTCGAATATAAAGAATAAAAGGAATTTAGAAACTTAGGATCCAACTCATAACTAGTTTGGTTTCAAATACAGACTTGGATGTACCGGTTAAATATTCGTTCTTTGTCAGGTTTCGGAACACAATATCTAATGAACTTTGCAGTGACAAATGAAGTTTGTAACAGAAACGATCTTTTATTCAACTGATATCAGTTGGTCTAGAGATATGCCATTCTACACTGATTTGTTTTTCTCAATTAGCGAATTTTTCTAAATCACTTATCAATAGTAACACAGTGGTTTACGCTCGGAAATTCGAAATGATAAATCCCAACCCAGATAGATCTCGGAGAACTGAACTACTAGCCATATATAAGCAAAATATGTAGCCGAATTAGTGTACCTACAAGTTAATAAACCAACCAATAACTACTCAACTCTGTTCACCTATTACGCAGTGAGGCATGCAGAAGTACGTGTTTTGCTCGACTGTAGCAGAAACACTGGTGTTAGTATTTTACCTAGTTGAACAAATAAATAGTTAAAAACTATCCGAACTTCATCCATCTTATTTTGACAGTTCATCAGTGACCTATGCAGTTCCAGAAGTAAACTAAAAACTAGTCGTTTGCTCTAGTTCAGTTTCCGTAATAAATCAAAGTAGCAATTTATTCTCTGCCAACGACTTCAATTACACGATATAGTATCATTAATGTGTAAAGTTTGTCTTCAAGCTACTCTTGTTTCTTATCGTACTTACAACCATAGTTAATAGATCTTCATACATCGGGTAGTTTTGACAAGACAAAAAACAGTTATCATTCCGAAATAATTATTAGTTTGTCTTATCTTAAATATTCACTTAATCCTTTCTTTTATGTTAAAGAGCGTTTAACAGGTAGTAGCAAAATATGCACAAACTGATTGAAATTAGGAGCAACAGACCATTGAATTCCAATTCACGATAGCTTATAATGAGATAACTGAAAGACCCATGGGTTCTGAGTTCGATTCCAGACAGAACAATGAATGTATACTCCCAAAGAGTTTTATGTAAAAAAAAAACATTTTTGATCAGTCCTTTCTATTTCTTAAGCGTACTTCAAGTAATGTTGACTCGTGAATAAATCATTATCATATATACATATACTCCAGACTTCACACAAATCCAATGACGAAACGAAGTGCAGCGCATATATATTTTATTAGAATTATACAAAATACTTGACACATGAATGGTCAAATAGTAAGAACACCTTGATAAAAAATAATTTCAATGGACAATTTTTCAACGAAATTAACACAAACAAGCAAAAGTAAAAAATAAGATTATAAAGTGAAAACCAAATAAACCAAGTATACATATAAGTGAATTAAAGAATACGATAATAGTGAATGATAATTTCACACCTAGGAAATAAAAGTGAGTGTGCGTGACATGAGGTTGGGGTTCAATTTATTCCCACTAATAATAGAGATAATATGTCGTTTTGTTTTCGCTTCATATAATAAACGAGTTCATCAGTATAAGATAATCATTTCGAGTTTTTCATTTTGATCACAGAATGTAGTAATATGAAGGAGGAAGAAGTTGGTATGATTGGTAAATTTAATTAGAATAAGAATTGTATATTAATCAAACAAGAAAGCCAATAGCACATACATACACAAACACGGACACACACAAACCTACGATGATACAGTAACACAGAAGACGTTTGGAAGAGTTGTCGTCTTCAACGCTTACAGTTGAATTCAAAAAAACTTGTTAACAGTGAAGTTAATTGATTTTGATATTCTTACATTATAGGATTGGATGTTAAGGTCAGAAAATAAGAATCATACTTGATAATTCCTTTCACAGCAAGTAGTAGTAGTACAGTGGGTGGATGGATATATAGAAGAATTTGACGGAAATAGTAGTAGAAAAGTACAAACTAAACACAAACCCGAACACATGGAATTGGAGAAATAATAATATAGTAGGAAAATAGAAATCAATGAAGTCTATAATAATTTACACACAGAAAAACATATAATATTTAACTGATCATCATCATCGTCATCAGCGGGATAAGGCTGTGTTGAAGGCGGTAGAATATTTAGGGAAAAAAAGGATTGAGAGAATTGTCTTTTATCCCCCATACATTTCAAATCAAAAACACATGTGATTAGTTTGACGAGTTAAATGTGGTAATGTTGTTATTTGTTTGTGAATTGGAATGGGCACTATTACTAGTAGTAGTAGTGGTGATTGAGGTGTTACTTTTGGTACAAACCGTAGATTCCATGGTAATCGTAGGTGATTTCATACAGGTATATTGATTAGTTTTAATCGCATTAATGAAGATTTTATTAATTCTATCTGGGACTGAAAAGTGAACAATAGAACAATGGCTTATATATAAACATTTTTTAAAAAAAAAACATGAATTTGTAAATAAAATTTATTTTTCTTGTATTAACTAATTCATATGTCAGATACAAGTTTATGTACTTGGTTTTAGTCCATACTACATTTTTGGTACAAAGACTGGTAACAATTACGTGTAACTGTTCAGACCATACGGTAAGTGAACCAAAGTTTGAAGCTTTGGAGTTAGTAGGTTAGAATTTAAATGACTTAAACATTGAGTCACCATTTCATTCACATTATTAACATGACGATAGTGAAATTTAAAGTTAAGTCACATCATTAACTGAAGAAATCAATGAAAATCAGGGAGCGTGGAATAGATATTGACTGCCAAATTTAAGCTTCTTAGTCGAATATAAATTTGTATCAACTCATGTGCTTGTTATACCACAATAATACAGTGAAATGAAATGACCAAAAAAGTATAATGTATAGTATTGAAAATAAATTTAGTTGGTCGCTGAATCTAAACAAATAGGCGCACTCAACTTACTGACTATTAAATATGTGATTTGCTATCTTTTTATTGATTTCTATTTCGGACTCACTAAAAGTGGCTGCTTGTAATTGTACGGAATTAAGTATTGTCTAGTGTTATTTTGGTTCTCTATTTTCGGTTGTGAATCGTATATCTGATCTAACGTTATCTAGTCTCTTTATTGTGTATCGTTTGAGTATCCGATCTAGAGGTATTATAAAATCGATCACCTAGACTAGTCTGAACACCAGTTACTGGATGCCAAGGACTTCATCTTCTGATTTTGCTCCACTGTCTTGTGGATTAGACCTCTAGGTAAAAGGATCGGGGTGTGGTTACCCAAGAAAACCACCTGTTTCAATTTGGGCGTCCGGACAATACTCTAGACCTCACATAACAACAATGACGAAGTGCGGCGCATACATATTTGGTGTTTATGTATTTAAATAAATAAATAAAATAAATTATTGTATTAGCGTAGCTGTACCGTAGAGAGAGGAAATATTTTAATTCATCGATCATATCGAAAACGATAATGAGAAAGAACATAAAGAATATGATCCAAAAAAGTAATAAATGAATTTGTGGGAAAAGTAGAGTGCAATAAATATTGAATCTTACGACTTAGAGAAAAACAAAGGATAAATGTAGCTGAGCTGTTTTGACTAATTGTAGTTCATGTAATTGTGGAATGTCACAACTGCTGTCAATACATTTTTGTAAAAAAAAAACAGTACTACTTAAACAGAAGTAACATTAAACTGTTTCATAGGTTATGTCTAATATGTTGACATTTACTAGTGAAGAAAGCATTGAAAAGGTAAGACAACAGGATCAGGAACAAATTAACTGAATCACGAAGGAAATCAAAATTTACTGGATCAGTTATACAAGTGAATATTGAATTGATGAAAACATGAAGACCGAACTGAAAGATATGGTGGCTAACAATGAAATCCAGGACGCGCATTTTTTCCCAGTCTGAAACTCGTCAGTTGGATATATGTGCATCCGTGTTAACTTGTGTCATAATGGCTATATATCGAGGTCATCTGCACAAGAAGCTCATATGCCAACCCAAGATGATCAAATTTTAGTCGAAATATTTACGGGATAATCCAAGTAATCCCGAACTGAATTCAAACTGGGAGATGTTCATTCATTTATTGGTTGAACTTTCTGGTAGTAAATCCAACATAAAGTTACCTCTACAGAAGAACCTGAATTTGTAGATAAACATCGGATACAAACTCCAGTAATTTATCTTTTGTTTGAGTACATATAACAAGTCGATTAGAAAATTCAGATGTAAGATTAACTACGAATAAAATGTTCTTTTCAATTGCCCTCGTTAATCTACCATAAACGACAACACTAGCTACATCCTTGTTGAATTGTAGTTCTAAAAATATCTCCAATATTCTTTTTCCATGAATACATGTGGTTCATTGAAGGTAGCCAAAATCCATCACCATGTTATTAAATAATAAAATCTCTTTCTTATGGCATAATCTGAGTAGATTTTTAGTGCTCTGTTAGTAAGACAGAATAGATTAGCTAGGAAAGTTAAAATGACATTTAACGTAGCTAATCTTTTCTGGTCGATTAGTGATGCTTACTCAAACAAAAGATAAATTACTTGAGTTCGTCACTTTGGTGTTTATATACAACACAATAGGCAACTTAACCAACAAATAAGTGAACATTTCTCAGATAGGTTTGGAAAACAATACATAGCTCCATTCTTGGCACACTTAGTTGACAGTGATCATATCGTAAACAAAATAAGAAAAACATAAAAAGTCAATTCTTATTGAGAGTCCTTATTATTTTCTCGTCACGACATAATCGGTCATTAATAAATTTATTCATCCGTTATACCCTGATGGGTAGAAAAATTGTATTTCTGACGTTTCGTGACTCAATGTAAACCACTTCTTCAGAGTTAATAAGTAACCGAATTAAATTAAACCAAGTATAAATAGTACAAAGGAAACACTACAGAATATTTTTAGTGCAATCAATATCGTAATAAGTCTAAATATGTCGATGTCAAGTTATTCTTGATCAAGGTGAATTTTTATGACCTGTCACTGAATTAATTTGTGTATCAAGGTACGACAAAAGAATTACAACGGTTATTGAAAAAGTACAAAATTAAAGCTTTCTATAAGACAACTAACACTCTAAGAAAGGCTTTAGTTAGAATAAAAGCTACGACCACGTTCACTTCCACACGAAATTTTGTTTACAGATTAGGTTATGTCCATTGTGATCCCTTCAACGTTGGAGAGTCCTCCCGTGAGATTGCAACTCGTGCCAAAAAATACTCAAGTTTCACCAAAAGACTCAATAAAATTTACAGGTTAAATCAGCAATAGCAGTACATGATATTTTCAATAATTACCAAACGGATATCAAAACTATCAAAATAATTCAGAAAGGCTTTTCCAATTATAAAAAGAGGATAGTAGCCAAAGAGTTTCATATAATGATAAAGCCTTCTTCCTTCAATAGCAAACAAGGCCAGAATATTCATCCAACCTCGACTGTTTATAAAACAACCACATTTGACCTTATTTATTTTCCAACCACACACAGACACCCAATCTCAACCCCACTACATCAGATTACAAATGCATACATTTTTCATACCCACATTTCGACGCACAAATTAAAATTTCATCTAAGGCGGCCTGCTTGAGCGTCTCGGCTACCTGTTCCTGCCATCTAAATATTTCAACAAGTTATCTATTTTTGTTTGTTTTAATATATCATTATGTCTATTAATCGCATAACCAATTCTGCTGCGTTTCTAAAAAGTGTACAACCTTTCGCTGTCAAAGTTACAAAAAGCTCAATAAGAGAGAATGTGGTTGCTGGCAATATACAACGAAAAAAAATGTACATTATTCAGATGTTCATTTACTGGACTGTTAACATCTAACTGGCGATCATTCAATATTTATCGCCAGGACCGACCAGGAACAAAGAAACGGAAACCTGTTGAAATACTTTGCGCTGAGAATCCTATATTGTACCAAAAATATAATATTGAATAAAGCTAATAATAATAATATTAATAATAATAATACAGAGACAGGTTATACAAATTCACCTTGATCAAGAATAGCCTGACACTGGCATATTCAAACTCATTATGATATTGATTGTACCAAAAACATTCTGTAGTGTTTCCTTTGTACTATTTAAACTTGGTTTAATTTAATTTGGTTATTTAATAACTCTGAAGAAGTGGTTTACATTGAGTCACGAAACGTCAGAAATACAACTTTTCTGCTCATTAGGATACAACAAAATATTTATTTATTAATGACTTTCTACCCAATGCTTAATCTATTTGAAACTAATAAGTTCAACATTCGCATTGATTATTTATTTATTTGAACACATAAATACTGGTACAAGGCGGCATCAAATATATATATGCGCATTGATACCTATGATCGGTTATGTTTTATTATTTCGACTTCATCATTCTAATCAGGTGTAAACTTTTTTACTTGTTTGGAAATGTGATGATCTTAAATTAGTAATATATTAAGTTAAGATCTAGAAATGAACCTTGAAGATGATTATGGTCTCGTTTACAAGTCACTAATTAGTATACTACAACTGAATAAACTTTAATAAACGGAATACACCAATTAAGACATTAAATAAGAAAGATTAGTTCAGCGAAGAGTTCTCTTTTAGGTGAATTCATTTTCAAAGCTGTACAATAGCAAATATATATACTTATTTTTACAGGATGATAATACTAATGATAATAAACTTCTGTTATGCATGGTGACAGTGAGGTTAAATAAACAAAGGTATTAAAAATATTTTAAAACAAGGAAAGTTTAATGATCGTTTGATTGAACACTTATGACTCTTTGCTGAACTAATCTTTCTTATTTAATGAATAAACTTTGTAGTTAAAATGTCAAATAATGTGTGTGTGTGTAAAATTCTTTCTACACAGCTAATAAGTAATTGATGACAGGTTTCAAGATAAATCATTGTTTTGCCTATTGATTAGTTGTTAATCATCGCAAATTGTAACAAAATCAATCTAAGTATCACAGCTTTGGTTAACAGATATTTTAGCTAGATACTACATTAATTGTAACAGACTTTTTCAAGTTAAAACATACATTTACTCACCTTAGCATGTTTGACTTCTAATTCAGCGAGATCAACTAAATTTTTATGGAAATATTTAATTCGACGAACTTTGAAATCTTCTAATTCTGTAAAAAATAAAGATAAAATTGTACATTAAATTATCTTGAGTAGGTAGTGAATTTATTACAAGGAAATAAAATAATACAGATAGGATTACAAAAGAAATAGAGTGTTTTAAAATTAAAACGAACACGGAAGCTGTTTTCGAAGTATGAATGAAACAGTATGATCTAGGTACAAACTTAAAACAATCGTGACTGATTTTCACCCAGTTGATAGCCAATCAAAAAACACCCTTTATAAATGGACTGTCGGTGGTCCTGAGTGCTGTTAGAGGTATAAGGGCGGTTATCACATTCCGGTTGCCCATACCGTGGAAGGGTTTTCCTGGAGGGACCTGAAAAGGAAATCGATTTAGAGGTGATGTTAGTGAGCGTGAGTGCCCAAGGAATAACTGCTTGAGGTCGATCAAACATGACCGGTTTGTGAGTAGTTTTCATGTTACCTCCGTGCTTGTTGAAACCTTCCGCCGGAGACAGATATTCGTGGGATAAGGCGAGGTGTGCATCCTTAGGGTCGACCGCTTCCAACCCCGTCCCTCCTTGTGGAAAGGCAACATCGCTGCTATATTGGTTGTCTGAAGGAAACACTTTTCTGCCGTCACACCTCTGTAGTCAGCAGTACGACTTCGCCTTCGGACCTTGGGTTTGCTGCTTTTAGTCTTACCGCTCTTCAACTGACCTGTCCGGCATGGCAGGACCTTGAGGAACAATTGTTCCAGCCAGTATAATTCTATTGTTTCATCACGATAGGCAAGCCCGACCACCACATCAATATAACAACAACGGTCGGGATAGTTTTGGCAAAGAAAACAATAATATTACAAAGTGTAAACAAATTTTAAATAGTTAATGAATCTTTTAAAGTCTTCTACAGGTTACTCTGTCTGTAAATTGAAGAAAGAACAAAACATTAATATGTCCTTGTAGATATAGATTGTCCTTATCAGGATCCAAATAGGTCTTTCCGAGTTCTCACAAAGTTCTTGGTTAGAATTAGGCACTTGTGGTAGGCACTAAAGGATTAAGTGTTGGAGTCCTTATCACCGAAATACAAAAATGCACAGAGGCGTTGAGTGATTACTTCATTCACAAAATATTCAATTTCGGGTTGTGGAGATCATTGAATTTCGCTGAGATCATGAACTGATCAATGTTAGACCACCAATTAAAACCTGGAAGAACTGTACGGGCATTTCGTCCTAGTATAGGGCTCCTCGGCGGTGTGTATCTATGATCCCGCACGAGGGACTCGATGGTGATCTAACATTGATCGGTTCATGATTTCAAATGTCATACATAAAATGTAGTGCCCCAAGATTACGATTAGTTCAAGTATTAAGCGTTTACGGTTGGGATTAGAGGATAATGTTGATTTACCAGTTATAATAAACTACAAAGAACAGAATTGAGTATTCGATACTTTTAACACTGTATGGTTGTAAGAATTAATTCTTCACTATCTCTTTTAACGTTTCGAAAAGTATTAAAAGATATTTTTACTGCTCGTCATAGGTGGTATATGAATTTTGCACGAGGACCTATAAGTTGCGTTCTTGATCCTGATTGCATACAATGATTTTTACCAAAATTTGATGCATACACTTCAAATTACCACATTAATAAGGCAGACCAAAACAAAATCAGATGAGATTGATGTCGCAAAACAAACTACTCGTAAAGCGATTCAGGCAATAATCATCAAATTAAGACTTAGTACTAGGAATGTGGGCATATATCATAAGACTAACCCCATCCAGAAATATCGGGTGCCTGTGCACATATTCCATTTAAAGGTCAAACAAAAGGTTAAATCTTGTAGTCTACGTATGTTGTTGAAAGGACTCATTTGAACATCTGGTCAAAATTTCCATCTACGTGTTAGACTTTAAGTGAGATGGCCCAGAATCGTTGACAATAGCACAGGTGCGTCCACTTATTGTTTTCCCTTGAACCGATGTACGTATATGCCAGATCCTAAGTTGCTTATGACTGACTGAATAACGCTAACTATACCAGATAAGATCGTAAAGTGTGTCATATTTATCATAATTAAATTACCAAACAGTTCAGAGAACGCAACACAACTAAGAAATTGTATACATTTGGTATATGTTTAGAGTTGAGAAAAGTGAACAACGGCTCAATAAGAAATTCTATAATCGAACACCCTGTGAACACGGGTCACTCAATCAAGACAGACTCTGCGTTCAAAGTCATCTACAAGGTAAATAGAAGTCTTCCGAAGACAATAAGACTGTATCTTCTTTGCATTGCCGAAGCAATAGCCATACATCTGGAAAAACCAGGATTGTATATGCAATAGAGACTGCTACAACTTCTTCTACCATGGTCTTAATGTATTAAAATTTTTCTCTCTTTTTCATACTCTCGTTTCCTTTACAGCCATCTGCCTCACCTTCCATCTTCCCCTTAAATCTTCTACCCCCAACTGGTTTGTTTTTATTTCCACGATCATTCCGATTACATTTCACCTCTATTTCAACATTTTATCTTATCATGCTGAGCCATCCATTCCCAATGATAATTTCCCTATCTATCTCTTGATGAATAATTAAGCCATTAACAACCCAACGATTATTAAACTTTCCTTGTTTTAAAAATTATTTTAATACCTTTGTTTATTTAACCTTACTGTCACCATGCATAACAGAAGTTTGTTATCAGTATTATTATCATCCTGTGAAAATAAGTAAATATATATTTGCTATTGTACAGCTTTGAAAATGAATTCGCCTAAAAGAGAACTTTTCCCTGAACTAATCTTTCTTATTTAATGTCTTAATGGATGTATTCCGTTTACTAACAAAACTATTTTATAAAATATTATTGTAGGATAAAATTGAATAAATTATATCAATGCTTATTTAAACATCACTATTCTTACAATAATCATAACAGTTAAACTCTCAGAGGAAAAATATTTTTATTAATAAGGTCAAGTGATAACATACGCACACATGATATTTATATCATATAACACATACCAAGTTTAGCTGATTCTGAAATAGATTTGAAACGTTCATTAGCTGCAGTTTGTGCATCTTCCGCTGTTTGAACATCTTTCATACGTGCTCGAGCTTTATCAAGATTACGATTAGCAGTTTCATAATCTGCTAATGCACGACATCGACGATAGAGTAGGTCACGTGCAGCTCCAGTATCAATTGCATAGTAACGAAATGTATCAGATAATTTTAAATCTTCATCCGAACTCAAACGAACTAGAATTTTCTAGCAAACATAAATAACAGTTTTTTTTAAAAAATACATTAAATCTGAAGTTCGAGTTCTGCTCAATCTATTTTGGTTTGAAAAACCAGGTAGTTTTATGAGAGTGTGGTTCATACACTTGTAAATGAGTTCATTGATTAATAAATTATTCATTTATTACAAGAAACTACTTGAAACTGATTCACAATAAATTAAAATATGCATATAAAATAGTTTTATCGATGCAGTAATTCATAGGCAAACATTAGTGATTTAACCCATAATAAGGATAAAGCAAACTAATACTCATTAACCGTTAGGTAAAAATTAACGCGAGCCTGTATAGTTTGTGGCAGTGATCGAAAGTTATTGATATATTTCGTAATCCGGTTACTAAACCAAGTGATTTATTAATGGTTAGGCATTTTGACTTCTAATGTGTCGGAGATAATTGACGATCGACCTAATGTTTCACGCTAGTTGGGATTTTTCAACAAGCTGTATCTACAATCGCCGAGGGGATTTGAATCTGTATCAATCATTAAGTGTTGCAGCCAGACGATATTATCACACTATGATCTCCAATGGCGATCTGTTTGAATATCTGGGATACTTGTCCCCCCTCCCCTCCTAGATATTTCAACAAGCTATATATTTTGATTTGTTCTAACACATTATTATATTTAATAATCGCATAACCTAGTCAGGCGCGTTTACGAAAAGTTTACGACCTTTCACTGTACAACTAACAAAAAAGTATAGAGACATCGTGGTGGCTGGCAATAACGTTATCAATAATAATAATGAACCGAGCGTTCATAGATTACGGCTAAGCATTCAACTCAATTACTGAATACAAAACAAAAATAATCTGCCAAAACCTAAATAGCAATAAAAGGCTAACATAAAATAAGATGGAACTCTATGCAAGTATTTTTGATATTTTTCTCGAAAAATATCAAGATAAAAACAAACTACACAATTTAGAATTTCCCAATCACAGTAGAAATTCCGCCTGTAGCTCTCCTAGAGTTACTGCCAGTCTCAAGTCCGGATAAAGGAGGAGGGTTGGGCAACCAGAATAAACAATTTAAACCATTTAAAATCTGCCCTGAACGTTCAAGCACAGCCAACGCAAGCCAATCAATGGCATTCAAGAGCAGAGGAGGGGAAGGGAGGGACATTTGAGGAACTCTTGATTAAGCTAGCTCTACTAAATCAACCGGACATCGAAACACCACATACAGACCTTCCCATAGATGTCACTCCACCAACGATCGAAAAAATCAGGTTGACCATCAGACAAATCAAGAGTGTGAAAGCAGCAGCACCTGGCAATATACCAGCTGAAGCACTGAAGTCAGACATACAAGCAACTGAAAACATGTTTCACGTCCTATTCTGGAAGATTTGGGAGGAGGAACAAATGACGATGGACTGGACTGGAAAGAACGACACCTCATCAAAATTCCAAAGAATGGAGATCTGAGCTAGTGTGAGAACCACAGAGGCATCACGCTACTGTCAGTACCAGGAAGCGTTTTCAACAGTGTTGCTAAACTGGATGAAAAACTCAGTAGACGCCCAACTTCTGGATCAACACACCGAATTCCGTAAGGACCGGTCGTCCACAGACCAAATCGCAACACTACGGATCGTCGTTGAACGATCAATTGAATGGAACTGATCACTATATATCCACTTCCTTGACTATGAGAAAGCATTTGACAGTGTAGATTGGAGAAAATTATGGAGGGACCAGATTCAGCCAAGGGAAAAGTATATCCCATAAGCAACCAGAAGCACGAATGAACAAGCACACAATTCAAGTGCATATATGCAGTATAAAAATGTCCTTAGGAAACGTCAAAACATAGCGTATTAAAAGAGGGAACGAACTAATGACATTTAAGGTCCTTTTAATCGAGAAATACAATCTGAAGGTAAAATGGTCGCTTTTGACGCGAAAATGAGAAATTCAAATTTCCAAAATAATATCACACAAATAAAACGTTTACTAAGAGATTTTTAGGGATCTAGCATCCCCAACACATGCTTCTGATCGAGAATTGACCCTAACTTAGATAACAAATGTATTTCTCATAGAACCAATTTAGCTAAACAGAAAAATTCTAGTTAACTGCGTTTTATTGATTGCTATTATTATTATCATTGAAATATGGTTGTTGATTGAACGGATAGATTTTGAATGACTGTATTCATGTGATTTAGTCGATCCCATTTTGTGATAGTTTCGCATGATAAAGATAAAAATTGACTAGAATTCGTTGATATTATATTACATCAATCTAGCTATATTTCAAAGTGTACAGATTTAAAAAAACATTCAGCTGTTATTTTTTTTTAATTTTGTCTAATGACTGACCGTTGAATATTACATGAGCTTCAGAAACAACATACAAAACTTAACTCACAAAAACAATACACTCTAAGCAGAAATTAATAAAATACATTTTGAAGACCCTCAATGAGTCATTTTAGTGAACAATTAATCATAATAACCTGACTTATTTCAACATGGCGATACAAGACTGTTACATAGGTTTCGATTGGAGAGTCTTATATTCCTGTGTGGTCACGAACGCTCATTTTGTTTGATTAGTAAAAAGATTCATGAAATCTGTAGACAGTACTATTCTTTCTCATTTGATAGACAGTGAATACTAGTTCAGAATAGAGGAGTTTCTTCCAGTTCTATACCTAGTCCTCATTAATTTACCATAAAGTCGTGAGAATAAAACAGTGCCTATAAAAAGTGGAAATTATGGAAACTAATTCGCAATAGTCTATACCAATGTGTACAAATGGGATGCATTCATCAATTTGCTTAGCCTACCCCACATAATAGGCTCCATCCTCTTATCAATCTACCTGGTTTATTCAGCATCATTTTTATATTGAAAAATAAGAACATTTTTATTTCACAAAAGCACTAGACTATATTCTGAAGAGTAAAAAAAGAAACTCAATAAAACACTGAATTCAGTACAGTTATTTATGAAACTTATGCTAATGATTGGATTTAATTGAACAAACGTAAAGGTAATGTCGAAAATCAATAAATAATCCTTAATAATCGACATTAGTTCTTAACAAAACGCGATTCATGGAACAGTCCTTATGAACAACTGGAAAGTAAAATCATTTAAAATTGAAAGAAAAAACTAATGATAAAGATTTAGTACTTTGATTATTTTACTAGAGAAAAATATAACTGTACAGATCCCAATTCCGGTACCTGGTTAGGATCCGTATGATTATCGTAACCGATAGTTAGAAACCTTGCATGACATGGCTCATGAACGTTCGTAGATGCATTCACTCTGTTTTCTTTTACAATGAGTAACGACACATTTTCGCTCCATCTTTCGCTCTTTTACTGTATCTAATCTTTCTTAATAGTACTGATAACGTTACTAATTCTAATACTCAGGTGTCTTGACAACTTTATCCCGCTGTTCTAATGTGGTATGGTAACTTGGATTGTTGAACGTACGTGCCAGGCTCTATGCTGCACGTGGCTGGCTAACTTGGACTGATGTGACAGATATTGTCTACATATGACGTATTGGCCGAAACTAAAAAAATAGTATTAACTTTTAACTTTTAAACATAAAAAATATGAGTATTTTTTAGGACGAAATACGCATCTCTTCGCTGTTTTCTTGTGATGTTTCAAGAAGAATGATGGGATGAGCCGTGTACGTAGGTGTAAACTGCTTGGTTGGGGTCAACACGATTATCATAACCAGCAGTTGAATAAATCGAATAACATAGGTCGGAATCGACTGCCAATTTAAGTGGTTAGAAATATTCGGGAGGAAACCCTGAAATTAAGTTTTGCATTAATTGACACACATCAACAAGGTGTATCTATAACTTTGAGGGGACTAATGCTCTTTGTGAGACTGGAACATGAACCACCTAGCTTCATCGTTAGACATTATCAATAAATTGATTGGAAGACAACCCTGGATCTTGTTGAGGAGTGCCAACTAAAATGAAACCTAGATTGAGGGTTTCCTGTATACTACCTCCAACCACCTAACACATAATAAACGTTGTGTCAAGTCACTTACACCAGTGACTGCGTTACAACTTGATCGATAGGATTCAATCAGCACAAAAGGACTAGATAAACATAACATTGATAACTGCTGAATGATCAGTCGATTGAATATATACTTTTATATTTCACAGGAGAAAAATTCGACAAAATTTAGGACAATCTGAGAAACCATTCATTTTCATTCACAGTCTATTTGAATGTAGTCATTTATGAGCAGAAGCGCAAAATGAAAAAAGCATGTATTCCAATCCTAAATGTAAAACAAATATAGGTAACTTTCCAATAATAACTCATTTTTATATCTATAAAAAGTATTTTGTTATTTAAAGTGACGGTACTAACATGTCCAGTCAGTCGGCAAGTTAATCAGTAAGTTATATACTAGATAGATCTGATTCATTTACTAACTACCGATTGGTGTAATAAGCTTTGAGTTACAGTTTACGTACAAAAGCTAGTGTGCCACTGCAGAGGTAGGTGAAATGGAACTTGGGAATTCGTACAACCTAGTGGTTGAAATCCGAACGCCTTAACCACTATGCTACCCCCTCCAAGTAAGTGATAAACAACACACACACATACACTGAACCTCGTTTTAGAGACGGGAGAAAAAAGGAACATTCAGATCGCAAACTAGAAAAAAAACTTTAAAAAGAAAACAGACAGCCTTAAATTTCATATATAATCAAAATTACGTTTTAAGTGGAATAAACATTAGTATGTGGATAAATATTAAGTAATTGCTTTTGTATATTTTACATGACATGTGTGAGGGATGCGTTGGGAATAAAGGATTAAACATATATTTGTGAGACAGTTAAAAGTTTTTATTTAAACACAAAAGTATGTACGACTGATTGACCATTGAGTGGTGACCAATGTCATGCATGTTAAGTCGCTCTCAGTGCTGATCAAATTCTACCGACAGGCAAGTTGCAATGTGGCCACTAGTCTGACAAGTGTTAAATAACACGAAACCTAGGTCCACGGCTTCCAGTTAATTATCTCCAACCATCGTCGTACATCCCACCTCAACACAATGCACGCGATGTCGAGCCACAAGGACTAATATCCACTACATTGCAACTTTATCAATAGAATTCAATTAGTACTAAAGAGAACTTGAGATGTAACATTCGTTGCTATTCAGTGATCAATCAATCAATCATCTCAGTTCTACGGGGTCAGTCATAGCCCGAACAGCTCAGTGGTAACGTCTCTGACTGTAAAGCTAGGTAATATGGGAACGAAAGAGCTAGGGAGCATCAGTTCTTTGTGGCCCAAAATCTGACTCCAGTTGGATCGTTTCTGATTGTTATCAAAATATACATGTCGCCAATCCTCATATATAATCATAAACTTAACTCACATTGGTTAATAACGAAATAAAATAAGTGAAATACGAGGATGAATTTTTGAATAAGCATATTTTGTACAATCGTTGATCGGGAAGCGAAACAAAACAAAATGACGCGTAATGAAGTAGGCGAGTGAACCAACTCGGACTACTCAATCAGTCATACGATCTAATTGACGTCAAAATGAAGGGCTCCACTAAAGTGGTGGTCCGCCGTCGGCTAACCGAACGAAGAAAACTACGGCAATCGAGAACCTTCTACACTCCACACTTTCGGCGAATAAACTGAGCTAAGCCAAGTCAATCGATAAACAATGCAGTTTTCGACCATACGATCAAACTGGAGAGATCACGGCACCACTAAAATGGTAAGCTCGATTTCGAACTAAACTCACCTCGTAAATCTACGCAAACGGTGAACATCTCGAATTCTACGCGTCCGATAAACGAAATGACCGACTTAATCGATGAGCAACTCAAACTACTCAATCAATCATATGATATTACTAGAGTCAGATAGAGGGACATCAAAGTGGTGAGCCTGCCAATAGCAATCATTTGATAAAGATCATTGGTCTGATCAAACTGGAATCAGATTCTGGGCGACTAAAAGTTTCTTTAAGATAACAGGCACACTTTGCTAAAAAGCAGTGCCAAATAGCACAAAACGTAAGTGAAACAGGATTTCCTGTCAACTAACTCTACAACCACTTACCATCTTACACATTAAAATATTATATACCAAAAATAAGGAATTAACTCACTTGAAAGCTTTCAAAGAAATTGGATAACAAAGTTGTCAAACTGTTGAAGAGAAGAAATAATTCAAACACAATTATGAGTAACGAATAAAATGTATACTAGAACTGCAACAGCAAAACTCTGAATTATCTTGAAGTATAAAAATTGTTTACATAGTTCAATTTGGAAGCTAAGTGAATAATGCGATGGGGTTTGAAGCGAATGGTAGTGGGTTCTAGTCCTGGAGAAAACATCAATTCTGGGATGCAGGTACATTCGGCTGACGAGCCCCAAATAGGACGAAACGCGAGTCATGGTTTCCACTACAAGTTACTATCCATCTCTGCTTATCAATTTGTAATAGTACTTTTTCTCTTAGGATTATTTCATTGTTGATACTTTTGTAATGGATTTTAATTAATTTTATTTGACATGTGTGTCCTGTGAGGATTGCTTCGATATAACCATGTCGGGAGTTTTTTCATGGGATAAATTAAACGTGGCCAGCAGTGAAATTTGGGAGGCGTCTTTCATCCTATTTAGGATAAATTTATTACAATATTTATTAATAGTTGTCGGAACTAAGGTTATCACGCAATCCAACGACGTTACGAAGCGACCGTTACAAAGAGTTCATATAATTTATGTTATATGTTTACTTACAAGTAGTCTAAAGTACGTAATCATTCATAATCAATGTAGTACATTATATGAATGTACATCAGTCTGAGATGCCACAACTTTTAACAGTGTAGCGAAAGGAAATTAACAGAATGAGGAATGTAGAATGACAAATTACTATTGATTGGATTGGAAAGCTAAACATGATAAGTATACGTCGAAAGAGATAAGTAAAGTGGAAGAATTAAAATTATATGAAGAAAATATACTGAAGATTTAGATAGAGATGTACGGTGGATACAACTCTAGAATAGGCGGATCTATTTTATGAGCTGCGTTACGACTACAGCAAATAAATACCCAGTATGGGCTAGCTGAACACTGAGTTTACTAAGTGACAATCTATTCACTGTTAAAATGATTTTAGGCTAATTTATTATTCGGTCCGGCTGAAGAGTTGGCAAAAAGATGAAAGACCGATAAGGAAGTAAATTTTAAATTTTCCTAACCTTTCAGATCTGCTTATATGATTGAGTAGGTGCTTATTTCGAAAACCTAGACTACTATGACAGTTGAATCACATGAGATGGCCTTCTTTCCGTTAAATGGAATTTAGAAAATATTAATAAGCTAAAAGACAACTACAATATCTAGTTAAAGTTCCACTGTAGCCTAGATTTAACAATTGTAGTGACCAATGGAGTTCAACTAGGTCGTGTGTGAAACATTTATCCAAAGCAGGCAGTGAATGATAGCTGTACAATCGTGAACTGATTAGAATCAGACATGTAAACCATTTGGTACCGGCTCAACGGTCTGGAGGTTAAGCGTCCATGCGCGAGATACAAAGTCGTCAGTTCGATTCCTTCTGATGACGTTGTGGATGGGCACTAGTGAGGAGTCTTATATCAAGACGAGACAGCTGTCCAGTGCTTCCGAGTTTTTGACGGTTGCTTAGTTAAGATCAATTCATGATTTAAACCGTGAAAATTGTATTGTAAATAATTGATACTTTCCTTCCTTATATTTCTTTGAAATGTGTATATATTTAGTGCATTCGTTTCAATTAAAAGTCAAACAGAACAAAAGTCGATATCACGGAGAAGTGGGAAGAGAGAGATAGAAGTAATCACAAATGAACACAATCTATTGCAACAAAAAACAAAGCAATCAAAATCTATTTTTTTTAAAATAACAATCCAACTAACTCGGTTTCAGAAGTGATATTGCATTCTTTTGGAATTAAATTAGATAGAGCCAATTCAATTTGTAATAAAGTATTTGCATTAGTTTTACGACATTTCGATGCTAGATCCGCTGCTACCGTTGCATCTTTTATAGCTGAATGATAAACAGCTAAGATACATTTCTCGTCACGAAAGAAAACATCATTATCACGTTGATTATTTAACCATAAAGTTTCATCAGCTGATTTTGAGACAGATTTTAAAAAATCAACAGCCTAAAAAAGTCAAATACAGAAACGAAATGATTTATATAATTAAAATGAATTTTGTATTTGTAATATCTTGATAAAAATTAAAGAGGAAAAAACAAAATGGTTGGGGCAGATACTCAACCGACAGTAATAGGATAATAATAATAATAATAATAATGATAATAATAATAATAATAATAATAATAATAATAATAATAATAATAATAATAGTACTTGTCGCAAACTGGTTGGGGTTTTAAAAAGATGGAATACCACTGGATTTTGACAATAAATAATCTTCGAGGTAATCTGAGCTCACCGGAATGAGGTAGGAAGTTTTTGTATTCTATCTGAAATGACGTTGTAAGCTCGTAGTAGTATTGTAAAGTCTCAAATATTCGATAGATAACTGAATTTGTGTATGGTCGGCAATATAATTCTATGGTCAAATCACTTATGCAATAAAAGCAATGAATTGTTTGATATGGAATCTTTTGTAGTTCACTTAAAGTTTAAACACATTACAGAGTTATTACATATTTCCCCCAAATGCCCTGGTACGACTGAGAGTGGGGAGAGTCCACTCTTCCTCTCGAAATGTTCTCACATGGCTACACGTATATAGTCACTGTCAGGAAAGTCCTACCCACTTCCTTCTCGTGGTGGGGATGTTGTCTACGAAAGTGAGAGAACGAAAAGCCAACGTCCAGAGCTTAAACCGGATTGATGGATATGGAGGATCCATCTAGGAGAGTTGGGAAACCTTGATTCCAAACCAATGATGTGTTATATCCGAGCGAAGATTAAATCATGAGTAACTTATGAGACATATAAATTGACTAATATTATCTATGTATTCTTATAGTATAACTATTCAATAATTAGATTATGTATATTTATATTCCTCTTATTATAAGCTTTACTTTGACCTATAATTTATTACTGTACGATTTACTGTTCGTAATCTATGTTCAGTTTATTGACTACTGCCTCCCACGTTCACAGTCACTTTTTGGCTTTATTGTGTACAAATGTTATTTCCTATTTTATGGTGCGTTGCGGTCTGTTTGATTGATATATAAACCCAGTATGTCTGGAATAAAAGATTCGATTCGACTTGCATCGCATAGTGGAAGCTAGTATTGGTGTTCTCTACTCAAGTGGACGGGTTAGGCGGACATGGGACCAATAAGGATGCTAGACTGCCCATACCGGTCGAACGTCATTGGTTTGGCACAGTACGAAGATTGTATAAGTCGTATTTTGATTGGTGGATAAGTCACGTGATAAAAGCCGGACATAAAGTCATAACATGGTGCACATGGGCTCCAGGGTCCTGATTTAACAAATGGAGTATGAACCTACTGTTGGTCACCGGCTACCATGGGACTGCATCTCCTAACGTTACTCCACTGCCCTGTGGATTAAACCTCTAGGACAAAGGATCGAAGTGTGGCCTTAGTAAGAAAACCACCCGCTTCGATTTGGGAGTCCTGGCAGAATTCCATACCTCACACAAATCGAATGATGAAACGTGGCACATATCTATTTGATGCCTCCTTGTATCAATGTTGATGTGTTTAAATAAATTTCTTTGTCAGAATATCTACTCTAATTATGACAGTGGGATCCATACATGAGAGATACTCAGTTAATAAATACTAAACTATAATCACTACATAAACTGTACTTAGCCTTGGAGATATACTTTTCGTGTTACTGCCAATGATACAATTCGGTTGTTTTAAACAAAGTGGAACAGGATTTGAATGTATGACCAAATTATTGAAAGTGAAGTTACTTTCAACTATTACTATTAGGCTAACATCGTTTAAAAGGATCCAAACAGCTAGACTAGAACAAACTGATTGCTCTCTTTGTCTACATCTACATGAAAACCAGTTAAATATTAAACGACATGGTATGGCTTTCCTCATATCAATCCATATGGACAAAAGTTCAGCTGTAAAGAAACACAAAAAAGAACTTAGTACTCTAATCAAGTGTCAATCAATAAACAGATCGAAATCAACCACATCTATCAACCAATAAGCACAAGGATTAACAACTGTAAGGTCAGAGATCAAGTCAATAGAGAGAAAAAAAGCAAAAAGAAAAGACGAAAATACAAACAACGATAATACAGTAATGCGCAATAACCAACCACATCCCAGGTCAACAGGACACGCTGTAAGTCGATGGCAAGGTAAAATTCTGATAGGTCGCTATTTCAGTTTGAAGTACATGCTAATGATGTTGTTCTGTAGGACAATAAAAACTTAACAATTAAACCACCTAGACTCAGAGACCTCACAATATCTCCAACATTAAACATTCTTAAATAACAAATGTATTTTAAGTCCATAGTTATATGTATAATGTTGCTGAGATACGTTGTAAAAAAAGAAAATACCTTTTCTTTCCTTGTCTTATTTCGTACGTTTAATTCTTCTTCGAATTCCAGAAATACACGAAAACCATGATCATGTTTAAATGTTGGATGTGATGCTAGTCGTTGTAAAAACACTTCATGCATTGCAACTGTTTTCTTAAAAGTAGCTAAGTATTCACTGAAAACAAATAAGCAAACAAAAGAATATAAACCTAAGGGACACTTTTTACTAAAATTAAATGAATTATGAACTGACGATCAAAACATTAGCAGTAAATGTCAATATACGCTATGTCGATATTATAACAGGGCGAGGTATTGAGGACATTGGGACTCTTGGGACTGTTTTACTAATTATTATAATCATCGAATTCAACAATCTCTGTAACGCCCTATAAAAAGAATAATAAAATATAGTTAAGAGGAGATGAACTGAATTGAGAAGTGACGAGTATCAAAGACTATGTATGCTATACACTTTTAATAAGTGTGAGTGAGAATTTATGATTAATGTAATTGTTTTTGAGTTACACTGATATTACACAGTTGCCTAAAACGAAGTAGACACAACGGAGTTCAAACATACAACTTAATGGCTGAAGATTGAAAGTCTTAACCATTGAGTCACCTACTAAGCTATCGATCACATATTATTACCGCTCACAAGCATCATTAGCACTTATGAGGTTAACTTGTCCATCAGTGTGAACAATGTTATGATTAATTGATCAAAATAATTCCTCTTCTATATCACAATCATAGCAATATCATACATTTTGGGATGTAATAGCATACGACTCAAGTAATAGAAAATAACCAATCATTTATGCTAAATATGACTAGTGTTAACTCAGTTATTCAATTTAATTCAAAAAGTACTGAACAGTTGAAGTGTATGTCATACCGGAGGTACATTATATACAGAAAACAAGCAACAATCTATGAATGATAATCGATATTTTATTTTCAGTAGTATATATTGAGATTCGCTTCATCCAAAAACAAGAAACAGGCAAAAATAATTGATATGGATTGGAAGGCTGATATATAGTTAAATTGAACCAAAACAATAAAACATAAACATACACTCTAACGATTTCACTTAATAACCCTAACTAAAGATCACAGTTAATCTAGAACGAACGGTGTCATTGCAAGCATGCATGTAAGAATAAATTAACTACATATAATATAATCTACCTATAAGACCTTTACCGTTGATTAATACTTCAATCCCGATTTCATGAAAAATTCAACATACACTTTGTGATTGCAATTAATTGAATAACTACACATTTTCTTTGATATCTAGTTTTCACTATTACTATCACTGAAACTCATACCGACAAACTCAACTAATTCAAGATAGCTTCCAGTAACCGCTTCCAAACCATACAAGATCGACTAAAAGAAGGAACTAATATGGAACACAACTGGAAAGGGATCAAAGAAGCACTAACTTCAACATGCCAGGAGGTTCTGCACCCCAAAAAGCATCATCATGAGGAATGGATCTAAACCTAAACCCTACACAAGATTCAAGAAACGAAGAACAAGAAGCCAGCAATTAGCAACAGTCCAACAAGAACAAAGAAAGTCAAAGCACAAGCTGAAAACACAGAAGCAAACAAGCAAGTAAAGAAGAACATTAGAGCTGACAGACTGAAATACATCAAAGACCTAGCAACAACAGCGGGGAAAGCTGCGAGAAAAGGAAATATGAAACCACTATATGACACAACGAAGAATCTAGCAGGGAAATATGGTAAACCAGAGAGACCGATAACGACAAAGAAGGCAAGCCAATCAATGGCATTCAAGAGCAGAGGAGGGGAAGGGAGGGACATTTGAGGAACTCTTGATTAAGCTAGCTCTACTAAATCAACCGGACATCGAAACACCACATACAGACCTTCCCATAGATGTCACTCCACCAACGATCGAAAAAATCAGGTTGACCATCAGACAAATCAAGAGTGTGAAAGCAGCAGCACCTGGCAATATACCAGCTGAAGCACTGAAGTCAGACATACAAGCAACTGAAAACATGTTTCACGTCCTATTCTGGAAGATTTGGGAGGAGGAACAAATGACGATGGACTGGACTGGAAAGAACGACACCTCATCAAAATTCCAAAGAATGGAGATCTGAGCTAGTGTGAGAACCACAAAGGTATCACGCTACTGTCAGTACCAGAAAACGTTTACAAGTGTTGCTGAACCGGATGAAAAACTCAGTAGACGCCCAACTTCCGGATCAACACACTGAATTCCGTAAGGACCGGTCGTCCACAGACCAAATCGCAACACTACGGATCATCGTTGAACGACCAATTGAATGGAACTGATCACTATATATCCACTCTCTTGACTATGAGAAAGCAGTTGACAGTGTGGATAGGAGGACTTTATGGAACCTTTTGCGACACTATGATGTGAGTAGCTGGGAAAATCGTCAACATCATCCGGAATTCATACGACCAACTACATTGCAAAGTCGTACAATGAGGTCAGCTGACAGACGCATTTCAAGTGATGACCGAAGTCAGACAAGGCTGCTTACTCTCACCTTTTCTCTTTCTGGATTATAAAGACCTTCACATCTGAGGAGAAGCACGGAATACAATCGACAACTTGGATGCAACTAGACAATTTAGACTTCCCATATGACTTGACCTTTCTATTCCATACGCACGAACAAATGCAGGTCAAGACAACCAGTGTAGCAGAAGCCTCTGCATCAGTAGGTCTCAATATAAACAAAAGAAAAAGCACGATCCTCAAATAGAATACAGAGAACATCTGCCCGATCACACTTGATGGAAAAACCCCAGGAGGGGTGGAAACGTTCACATATCTGGACAGCATCGTCGATAAACAAAGAAGATCCGATGCAGATGTGAAGACACGTATTGACGAAGTAGGAGCAGCATTCCTACAACTGAAGAACATGTGGAACTCTGAACAACTGTCGGCCAATATCAAATTCGGAATTTTCAGTACAAACGTCAAGACAACTCTATTGTACGAAGCTGGGACTTGGAGAACTACTACTGCCATCATCAAAAAGGTAGAAGTATTTATCACTGATTGTCTACGCAAGACACTCAGTGTCCGTCGATCGGATACCATCAGCAACAGCATACAGTGGGAGTGGAAAACCAGTTTTTCAGATGAACAGGTAACTAGAAAAAGACGATAGAAGTGGATAGGACATATATTTCGGAAATCATCAAACTGCATCACGAAGCAAGCCCTAATCGTGAAGGGAAACGGAAAAGAAGAAGACCAAAGGACACATTGAGTCAAGAATTCGAAGCAGACTTGAAAAGGATGAATAGCGAATGGAAATAAGTGGAAAGGGTTGTCCATGACAGTTCAATGGAGAATGCTAGTGGGTGACATATGCTCCTCCACTAAGGGTGACAGACGTACGTTAGTATCACTACTGCCAGCTACTGGTTTATAATGGAATACACAGCATACTACCAAAACAGACGTAATCATTTAAAAGATGGTAATCACAACTGTCATAACTAGCTGTGAGCAAACATATTGATATGTGCTAGTGAAAGTAAAATATGTTTGGTCACTGAGCGTGGACAAGCAGGTACTTGGCCTACTGACTTGAACATGTAATTTCCTTTCCTCTGATTTTGATTTGTATTTCGAACTCACTGAATGCGACTGCTTGTAAGTGTGTTGAATAAAATAGCATCAAGTGTTAATCCATGTCTCTATTCTGAGTCGAGAATTCTGGATCTGATGTAACGTAACTAGTCTCATTATTGTATTAAGGCATTATTAAAGTATACCTGAGAGAGAAATATATTTTGAACCATCCGTTATATCATATAAGTACATATGTGCTTACATAACCGGTTAATATACAATAGGTTGATAAAAGTTAGATAATAGAAAATTTTTAGTTAGATTACATACAAAACAAAGTAGGCGAGCACATGAATATATACAACTATTATTATTACTTAAAATTTAAGCATAACGTGAAATGTTTATCACAGACACAAAACGATAACAATAATTACTATTATTATGATAACTAACGATATGTAAATTAGAATATTTCTCAAGATTTAGTATAGAGATTGTAGAATTGATGGAGAGAAATTATATCAAATCATGTTGGTATAGAACAAGAAAAAACAACTGAATACATGAATTGTAATACATTTTGTGTCGAATTTAGAAGTACCAATGGATCCAAATAACAAAGACTATCAGGTATGTAGTTTATCTAATGAATACGAGGAGTGGAAGAACGAAAACCTTATTTTGCAAACCATAAAGTGTCAAATATGATTTTTCGCAATAAGGGTGTGTTAACTAGCGAGTGGGAAAAAGCGCACCTTATGAATGTGATGTCAGTATGCACACTTCTTTAATCAATAGCTCGTGAGGAAAACGAAATCTTGATTTATTAATAGCGAATTCATGTATGCTGGTCCGTCTATTGACTGACTACTTATAATGGATTAATTGATCCCAAATGCCCTGGTACGACTGAGAGTGGGGAGAGTCCACTCTTCCTCTCGAAATGTTCTCACATGGCTACATGTATACAGTCACTGTCAGGAAAGTCCTACCCACTTCCTTCTCATGGTGAGGATGTTGTCTACGAAAGTGAGAGAACGAAAAGCCAATGTCCAGAGCTTAAACCGGACTGATGGATATGGAGGATCCATCTAGGAGAGTTGGGAAACCTTGGTTCCAAACCAGTGGTGCACATTGGCTCCAGGGTCCTGATTTAACAAATGGAGTATGAAACTACTGTTGGTCACCGGCTACCATGGGACTGCATCTCCTAACGTTACTCCACTGTCATGTTGATTAAACCTCTAGGTCAAAGGATCGAAGTGTGGCCCCTTAAGAAAACCATCCGCTTCGATTTGGGAGTCCAGGCAGCATTCCATACCTCACACAGATCGAATGATGAAACGTAGCGCATATCTATTTGATGCCTCCTTGTATCAATGTTGATGTGCTTAAATAAATAAATAAATAAATAAATAAATAAATAAATAAATAATGGACCGAGTATGGAAGACATTGGAACTTTTGTAAGTGTTTTACTGACTATTATTATTTTATGTTTTGACTGTACAATTCTTGGATGGGTGAATGGGTTAAATGATGAAGAGAGCAGTATATATAATTGCACTACAACAGTAATTAACATTTATTTATGAAAATTAAAAACAGTTTAGTTAGCTATTAGTAACTTGCCGCCCGAATAGCTCGGTGGTAATATCTCTGACTGCGAGGCTGAGTGAGACGGGATTATATTAGCCAGGAAGTATCAGTTTCCTCAAGATAACAGGTAGACCTTGCTGGCAATTAGTGACAAATAGTACAAAACGTAGTTTGAGCAGAGTGCCCTGTCGACTAACTTCAACCACCATCTTAAATTTCAATCATGATGCTAGCGATATTGAGTCACTTAAAGATCAGTGGCCATAGCGCAACTCGATCGATCAAAATTCAGACAGTATTAGGACGGACCTTGTCAATGATCAGTTGTAAACTACAAATTCCTTTTTTTTATTTTATAAAATGAAAATAGTACGGATATTAATGACCCTTCTTACGCTTCTAATTCAGCTTTCATTTTCCGCAGATCGTCTACGGGTAGATTGCCTTCATTTTCACCCAGTCGTTGTAGTTTAGCACGAGATGCATCGAAATCTGGTTTGGGTGGTACTGGTGGGACCTTATGTTGAAAACAGAGAGAAACCAAAAAGAAAAATTGTTGTTCATTTAATAATAAATCATTATTATTATTGTGGTGTGTGCTACTTATATTGACAAGTAGTATATGATGTTAGTCGTGAACAAAAGGTCTGGGAGCAGAGAGACAAAAGGATCGAACAGTAAAGAACCGAAACAGAATGAAATTTGTGTGAAAATGAAAGAACAATGAAGTCTGAGTCATTTTGAGACAATTGATGGACATTTTGTAAATTAAGCAATAACTTTATGATTGTTCTCTTTTAGGCGAATTCATTTTCAAAGCTGTACAATCGCATATATATATACTTATTTTTACAGGGTGATAATAATACTGATAATAAACTTCTGTTATACATGGTGACAGTGAGGTTAATACTTTTGTTTATTTAACCTCATTGTCACCATGTATAACAGAAGTTTATTATCAGTATTATTATCACCCTGTGAAAATAAGTATATATATTTGCGATTGTACAGCTTTGAAAATGAATTCGCCTAAAAGAGAACTCCACTGAACTAATCTTTCTTTCTTATTTAACGTCTTAATCATTGAGCCACAAGCTCTATTAACAAATTAGGCCAGTGAACTGATATAAAGATAAAGTATCAGTTTGCAGGACATAAGCATATGTAATATTATTCCACACTAAAACATGACTAAGAAATATTTTTTAGAAACACTACCAGATATATATAATATGCCATACAAGAACTAGGCCTGTTAATCAAGTTTTAATTTCATTGATATATATATATATATATATATATATATATATATATATATATATATATATATATATATATATATATATATGACCTACAAAACCCGTATCCTTAAGTTGCTTATGTTTATTTTTCTGTCTCATATTTTGTATGCAAGTTTATGGTAATTGACTAGATAGAAAATCTATGCTTTTGATCAGTTGTGTTGTTGTTTAATATCAGTTCATTTGAAAGACTTGGATCGATAATTCGGTCTCGTGAGCACATAATATTGGTCGACTATATACCAGGATTGCTTATCACTATCTACCGATCAACACACTCTACAGATCAATTTAAAAATCAAAACCTGTTCATAAAAACAAGCCTTGAACTGTCGCGTATAACGAAATATCATGATATCATAGTAAGTTTGGTGAGACACAATCAAATAAAATTCAGATCAGATACCAGTGGAGACAGTATTGTAGATCTCTTGTTTTTTCAATAATTGAGCACTGCTTCAGGGAGATCAAAGCTAAGAGTACTGTTTGGAATATAACTGTTACGACGTTCACTAAACTACAATTTCTTAATTGATAGCCCGGGAAACAAACGTACCAAACAAACTCCTGATTTTTTGTTCTCGAGCACAAGTATGTCAATTCGTTTATCGAATAATTACTTCACTTGATCAATGAAACACCTAGCCCAACACTAGTAACGCTGAGAGCTGATGAGATAATCGTGACCTTGATCGGTCCACCGATATGCAAACCTTCTTCTGTCCCCAAATCTTGAGTTCGATAATAGAACACAGTAATCATGTTTCTACTGTTCTACTTTCACACATCCGGTATATTTATGTATCTCAAACACTCACTAATACATGTACAAGAATTGTCAGACCACTAATTCTTTATATACAATCACGCCATGAGTGATAGAACAATAATTAGGGGACAATAAGTTGATACAACTAACAAGTTTATAATAAGGGGTTTATAAAAAAATAACAGCCGTTATATTTAATATGACAAAATATGGACAGAAATAATCTTTAAGATAATCCTAACAGCATCAATGTCCTCAATATTTGCCCCTTTATAATAGTATCTAATATAACTGCAATTGTCTATCAAATTATTTTCATTTGTTATATGCTTCTTGGTTTCATTATTTTTATGATGTTGTTATACAATTTTGTATGATACAATCTTGCTGTTGTCCATGGTGTATCAGTTTCAAATATCAAACTACATAAATAACAGTAATCTGGAATATTTAAGAGAAGTAAAATTAAATCTATTTATTTCAATCATAGTGTGGTGCGTGCTACTTATATTGGTATAAGTAGTATATAACGTGAGTCAAAAGAACGTAATGTCTGGCAGCAGAAGACGGAGAAGATCAAGAAAAGAAGAGCGAGAAAACAATGGAATTTGTTAGAAACTGCATGAGCAATGAAATGCGAGACAATGGATTGATGTTTGCAACAGCAACAGCCCGGTTTGATATGATAGAATGATATTTTGCAAATTAACGATTTACTATATGGTTTTTCTATTTTACCAAGTAATTCTGTAATTTGTCCTAAATACAATTCGGCTGTCCTCACCCGTGTTCTTCTTCACTACAATAGGACGGAAATTTCCACTACTCATTCATAAAAACACAGTTCTTTAAGAAATGCCCCCAAATGCCCTGGTTCGGCCGAGAGTGAGGAGAGTCCGCTCTCCCTCTCCTAATGCTCTCACATGGCCAAGCGTATATAGCCTCTGCCAGGGAAGTCCTACTCACTGCCTTCTCGTGGCGGGGGTGTTACTTACGAAATTGAGAGGACGAAAAGCGAATGTCTGGCGCTTTAACCGGATTCCAAAACATTGGTGCACATGGGCTCCAGTATCCTGAAGGAACAAATGGCGTATGAACCAACTGTTGGTCACCGGCTTCTATGGGAATGCATGACCTTACGATGCTCCACTGCCTTGTGGATCAGACCTTCAGGTCGAAGGCTCGGGGTGTGGCCCCCTAAGAAAACCATCTGCTTCGGTTTGGGCACCCAGACAGTATCACAGCGCTCACATATCGAATGAGATTTGTGTGGCGCATATGTATTTGGTGCCTCCTTGTACCAATATCTATGTGTTAAAATAAATAATAATAAATAAATCTTTAAGAAGTCTAATTCATAACTAAAGGCAGATTAACACAGATGGGAAATCTTGACAACGCTTTAGCATGGTTTCTCTTAAAAACTCACTTCAGCTTACAGTAAAGGATTACATAATATTTAGAGGACATTATCATAAGTTAGTAACAGATTGTGGGGTAAAACCGATTTTATTTGGTGAATCTGCCAAAAAAATATTCGAAGGATTGATATAAAAGCACAGATGTATATTACCATAGAGCCAAACAGGAAATAAACTACGTCTGTAGCTCTTCTAGGCTTACTACCGGCACCAAGCCCAGGTAAAGGAGGAGGGTTGGGTAGGAGGTCAGTAACCCCATCCCGTGAAAAACAACCTTGCTAATGAAAACACTAACCAAAATAAGTAATAAGGACAGCAGTTGGTTGATAATCACTGAGTGTTTAATTGACAACTTCCCTAAAATAATAGCAAGCCCAAACACTGACATATGTTAACAATAATAGAAATTCAGCATGAAAACCACCATTAGAAGGGTTGGAAAATCAGTTACTTCCAATATGTTTTTTTAAAATATATGCTCCTATGGAGATATACATAAAAAAGATAACATAATCTGTCTGATAACAGCCATAAACAAGATGGTTTGGGTAATTTAATTGAAAATTGTCAGATAGGTTCTATTGCAAGGCCTATAAGTTTGGGAATTCAAAATGCATTATTAACGTAGATAACAAAGGTAGCTTAGATTAAAGTATAGCTACTAAGCTACTTGGTTGATGAGAAGGTTGATATCAGAGTCCTTCAGGTACCTTCTAGATTAAGTATTTATTAAAGCATCTAATTAAAAGCCTATTTTTTGCTTTGGTATCGAACTATGATTCACAATCTCATATTAACTAATTTCCCCAGGAATTTATGCTGATAACACAGTTAATAGTACAAACTTTAAATACTTGTTATTAATTTTTAATCACTAATTTCATCAAAGTGGGAGAATTCCCACATATTATTACTAGTAATATTTTAACTAGAAAGTGTAGCCATACAAAAAGGGGTCAAATTAATGTAGCTGTTACTTATTAGATGATCGTGTTACATATTGTTTGTTTCTTTCCATTTTTTTAATCAATACCAGAATCTGACAGTAATGTCCACTGAGGTGCTAGAATATCAAAAGTTACAAGTACCTAAGAGACAAAGGTTCGATTTGCGATGCGACGAACAGAGAAGCCCACAAAATGCATCAGCACTGCTTACGCTAAATTTACTGTACAATCTCAATGAGACGAAGATAGGTTAGTAGGATATTAAAGATTTTAAAAGTATCACAGCTGTAATCCTTTAAAATCAAATAAATTACATGACAATATCGTAGGTGGTTTGGAGTAGAAAGTGCTGCACTTTTTATGGTGGTACAGTTGGACTTAAATCATCAGCTCCAGTACTACTTGGACATACAACTGTTTAAATTTTTATTGACCACAAAAAATAAACCAGTGTATATTTCCACCATTCACTTAAAATATTTGAAAAATCCTAATGGGAGAAGCCTGGCTAATGCAAAAATTAACTTACAATTAAACCTGCATATGCATCATTTTCAACTAAACGATCATGAAGCCAGACGAATTCTTCATGCATTCGTTGTACATCACATTCATTTTGTTTAAAATCAGGCAATGTAGTCTAAAATTTAAAAATAAAGCAGAAGTCAGTAAAATTGTTAGTCGACTAAGAATAAATCTTTCAATACTTTTCTTTCCGTTCTTAAAAATTTAAACTGAAACAGAACTTTGATACACTATAAAAACATTAGTGATCATTCCAAGGCACAACTCGCTAGTTCGATTATATATGGGCTTATAGACATCAGATTACTTATAACGTCCGACGTCCAAACAGCAAGTCCCAAGTTCGAACGCAGCCCGACCTACTACGGTTTGAGCAACCGGTTAGTACCACCAGCCCCCGCATTTTGAGTGTGATCCATACACAAGTACCTGGTGAATAAACCATCACCAAAAATATTGACTGTAACAAGAATATTGTCCAATGAGACCTAGTTACAGTTAACATTGCAAATACAGGATGATTTTATTTACATATAAAATAAACAGATGTCAATCTACTGTGAAATGAGTAGAAAATGATAAAATCTTAGTTATGTAGATTGCATTACGCAACGGTATAAGATATACTGCTATAAATAAATTCATGCAAATCCTGACAGTACAACTGATATATATTCAATAAATACATTATTTATAAAAATATAATCACCTTTGTATGAATCTTGAATAGAACACGGTCTTTATCACTCATTGCTCCAGAAATTTCAACGGCTAGTGACTCGGAATTTGGATCGGTCGCATCTGACCATCCCCGTGTTTGGGAAGGGAACTGCGGAAATGATGAACCACCACCGATAGAGACAGTATCATGATAAATGCTAGTTGAATGTTCACCAATATGTTCCTGAAAGTCCGGGGAATTATATTTGTGGGTAATAAAGTACTTTGAGAGAATGATTTATGGAATGAAATAACTCAATAACTGCAGCTAATAAATAGACAAACTGACAATTAGGGCATCAAGGGGAAAGAAACAACACAAGACCTAACATAAACATGTACCGACTAAAGCTCCAACGCCTCACACTATTACAGTGAAGATACATTAGCACAGAGGCCAAATATCTATTTCGCTCTACCAGGCTGCTTTAAATGCCCAGTTCAAATTGATTTATTTCTGGTGATTGATTCAACGTATAAACAGGAATGATTAACGACTAATGCCATAAAAATCGAAATACGTTAGCTTAAGTCCTTTTAAAATCGATAATAGCTGGAACTTTATTGTGCATGACTTCTTAAGACTGTTGGAAGAAATCCACGAAAGTGCAGCTATATTACTCAGTAACAGCAATGGTTTAGTGGTCAGTGTTAGGCCGAACATCACTCCATACATGTTTAAGCAACTGGGCAGTATCAACAACCTTAAGTTATAGCTCAAACTACATAACAAGAGCATGTATATCCTTACACTTTGTTTTATTTCTACATGGATTTGGTTTATTACTAATGGATAGTGTCAATGTTCGTTTTTTCGGAACCTTTACATTTCTTCATCTTTTTGCTTGAAATTGAATTCAGATGAAACTATACGATCTACTTTAACCCATACCTGGATCATGAGATATTGTGATCTTATAAAGGGATATATGACTAATAATCAAGACTTGATAGAGATGTTTATCAGACTTCCTTAGTAGGATCTAGAATATTATTTTAATCACAAGTGCGTTGGGTATTACTCATAGCAACAAAGCGCGATTACAATAAATGAAAGTGCTTTTACATAATCTGTTTTTTCGTAACATTGTTGATTTCTGATAACTTTACATTACCCACTGGTTATGTCGAACTTACGGTAGAAGAAACTAAAACAAACAACAGAACATATCATGAAGACCCACGTCAACCATACGCAATGTAAACCTCGCCAACAAGCGAATAGTTAAGTTAGAATTTCATAAACACGTAAGTGCTTCTGGATCATAATGATGATCTTTAAAGCCTTAAAACACAGTGGTGATAAATATAACTGGATCAGCTGTAGCTACCCTGTGGTAGTATGATTATCCAGTTTACAATGTTACAGAAATATATTATGGGAACAAGTTTAAGATTATTACTCCACGTAATGCACAAAAGCCACCATAGTTATTGATACCTTTTACAAATTTATTGGCTTAGAAGACAATATAGTTTACTACTATAAATAGTCGTAGAGATAATGAATAGTTGGGATAGTCTTAGCGATTAATGAGGACGACAAGCAATGAGAATATTAGGAATTCAGATAGTCGAATAGCGAATGACAAGATGGCTAATATGAGAAACTATACGGAAACTAACAAGAGAACAACTGATATTCTGAAGTCACTAGTAAGTGAACACATGACATTTATGAAACATCACCTGACGATACAAATGCAAAGTTCCAATGAATTTAGCTTTTTGTTGTGAGCCTGGTATCTTTGAAAATGATGAACGAAACACATGAAACTATCCCAAAAAACCGCCAAGTAGTTAATTTATACGGAAAAAGGCCTGCTTTGCAAAAAATAGTGGAGGACTACAGACGAATTTTTGGATGTTATTGATCAATAACGGAATTATATTCCTGCGCAACATAGGGAGGTTTGAAAGTAAACCAAATTAACATGCTCCTTAAGCTAATTTGACGATGAATTGATACCAGTAATAAAAATGCTTGAGTCGAAAATATTTTTGGTACATATTGCTGGATCTACTAAATCTGTGAAACAGAATAAGGGAATAATGCGGACGTATCAAGTCTATTAGTACAGAAACCAACCATAGTAACGCAAAATTCAAAAGTAGATAAGTCTACAGATATCCAATATCTCAGTCACGAGGTTCAATAAGTCGATTGATTTCTTTGCACTCGCTTCTGTTTGCTTCAGTATGGTTTCAAGTATTTAGTTATATCCGAGGAGTGGTGGACTATCACTCGACTGCACTATTTCTAGTCAGTTTGGCCGTTATTTGTGAACTTGTTCCAGCTTCAGTTTGGGAAGGACAGGAGGCCTGATAGCCTGTGTTAGTCCTGGCAGTGGTGGTCCCTCAGTTGGTCCAACTTTCTTTTGAAAGAATCGACGGATGGAGCCTCAGCCACTTGCTGAGGTAATGAGTTCCACTCGTTGATGATTCGATGGGAAAGTCGATAGTCAGCTGACAAGTAATTTGTTCTTGGCTTGTGAACTTTTTTGGAGTGTCCTCGTTAATTCTCTGTTTTGGAAGACAAGAAAAATGAGGGCATATCAGGTGCAAATTTGGCACTAAGCAATTTGAAAACTGTAATCAAGTCGCCTCTAGTTCTTCGATATGACAACGGGAAAAGGTTCAGCTTGGCCAGTCGAGCTTCATACGGAAGCTTCGCTATTCCGGAAATCAGCATAGTTGCCGTTCTCTGAACTTCTTCCAGAAGCTCACTGTCTTTTTTTAAGCAGGGGCTGGCCGCTTGTATGCAGTACTCAAGTTTAGGACGTACGAATACTGTACACAAAGTCAAAAACGTCTTAGCGTCGACATAACTAAAAGCCCTACGTATTGACCATAACGTTCTAAAACCTTTAGCGACTATTGCACGGCAGTGTGCAGTAGTCTTTAAGTCTTGGCTAACGATGACCCCTAAGTCATTATATGTCTGGACGACAGGTAGCTCAGTGTTATTCATCGTGAATGTATCTGTACCTTGATGACCGATATGCATCACAACACAATTGGAAGTATTTATCGGCAACTGCCAAGTTTGAGACCATTCAGATAACTTCTTCAGGTCATTTTGAAGTTCTAAGCTATCACTCTTACATCGTATCGTTTTCCATATCTTGACATCGTCAGCATATAGCAAGACCGATGATGATAGGAGACAAGGAAGGTCATTTACATACAAGAGGAATAGCACTGGCCCCAAAACTGCTCCCTGGGGCACTCCGCTAAGCACAGTTTCCCAGCTAGATAACTTTGAGTTCACCCGAACTCTTTGTTGACGCCCAACTAAGAAGTCTTTTATCCACATCAACAAATTGCCTCCAATCCCGACTTTCCTTAACTTATATAACAGCCGGTTGTGCGGAACCTTGTCAAAAGCTTTGCTGAAATCAACGAAGGCTACGTCTACAGGTAACTTTTGGTCCTTAAGAGCGCACCAGCTTTCACGAGCCACTAATAAGCTAGTGAGACAAGAGTAACCTATTCTGAAACCGTGCTGCTTCTCCAAAAGGATCCGGTTTTTATCGAGATACTTAAACAGCTCCTTCCGAATAATCTTTTCTAAGATTTTAACAACCACACTAGTTAGGCTAACAGGGCGGTAATTCTCAGGTTTGTGTTTCGTATCTGTTTTGAAGACAGGACTTACTATGGCGTTTTTCCAATCTTTGGGTAAACGACCCTGCGTTACGGATAGGTTAAAGCATATACTTAAAGGGTTCGCAAACAAGTTAGATAATTCCTTCAGTAGCCTAGGATGTAATTCATCGGGCCCCGTGGATTTACCAATGTCAAGCTTATTTAGTAGACTAAAGACATCGAGTTCTTTAATGGTCACGATATCCAGTGTATGTGTGGGGGGATCTGTATGCGCTGATGGGAAGGGTGTTTCTATGGTGTATACATTGCTAAAATAGTTTGAGAACACTTCAGCCTTAGCAAAGTCGTCCTCCACTAGTGACGCGCCAGTACTGTCTCCTCATAGAGCAGGAATATTTCCTCTTCTCTTTGTCCTTTGATTTATATAAGAATACAAGCGTTTAGGACATTCTATGGATTCCTTAACAATCTTTTCTTCGTACAACTTACGAAGGGTCGAGGCACTAGTATTCCGAACTTTTCTATACTGGGATTTAGTTTCATCAGTCCCCAGTAACCTAAACCTATCCCACATTTTTCTTCTCTTACGGAGAAGGATGCGGACCTCCCTACTGAACCATGGTGGGGAGTTTTTCGGCCCCCTTGGTATAGTCCAAGGGACGTGGGGTGTGGTAACTTTTAAGTATGAATTTCGAAATGCGTCCCAGGCAGTTTCAACTGAGGACTCTGGGTCTATTGTCCAATCTACTAACGATGCTGAGTGCATGATATCTGGTATATTTGCCTTCCAGAAGTTAAGTCTGGATTGGGCTGACCCGTGCTCGTGACTGACAGTTACATGGAAGTCGAAAATTAAAACTGCGTGATCACTTTTACATAGGGGTGGCATGTAATGGAGGTTCGCAACGTCATCCTCATAGTGAGTCAATATAAGATCTAGTAAGGATGATTCAGTGTCCGGGTCGTACCTAGCTGCTTCTTTCACATGTTGCACTAGAGCACATGTGATAACCGCATCAACTAGTTCCTGCTAGAAGGAATTTTCTGACGATTCAGTTCGCAGATTCTCCCAGTCTACCATAGGTGCATTAAAGTCCCCTAGGATTAGACATCGACCACTTTGTGACCAAGTATTGAGACTGCTTAGTAGGACTTCATTTACCTCACAGCTTGGACTGCGATAGACCAAACCAATCAGCAGCTCTTGTCCCTTGCATTTCAAGCGGAGACTAACTAATTCACACGTCCCACTCTCATGGGATACACTGTCGATAATGGCAAATGGGATAGCATTCCTGATGAATAGAGCTACTCCCCCTCCTTTACGCTTTTGTATTCTGTCGGCCCTTACTAACGTTAAACCCTTGAAATCAAGTTCCATACTATCTATAGCCTGTGTTAGCCAGGTTTCTGTAACTGTGATTATATCTGGCTTTGTAGAGTCAATCTGTACACCTAGTTCCGATCGCTTATTAAGTAAGCTCCGGGCATTAGTGTAGCAGATCCGAAGCCTATTTAAGTGGCTTCAGCATCATTCTCTGTTGAAGCCCTACAACCCAAAAATTTACAATTTTTAGGTCCTTTTCGTCACCGTCTAACCTAAGTTGTAGTTCTTTTTCGGCTTCCCGTCTTTGTACACGGTCTGCCAACGGTAAGTCCTTTCGTATAAAGACTCCTAAACCCTTTAATTTGTGTCCATTCTGTAAAATTAGGTCACGTTCGTTCAAAGAGTTGAATACTACTTTAAGCAGTCTGGAATGATTTGGTTTCAAGTCCGCTAGACTCCCTAGTCTGTACACCTTTAGCAAAGTGACCTCGGTGATATTTTGAGGCATGAGTTGATTAAGCAGCTGCTTAATCAGCACAATGTCATGCTCAAAACCAGCTTTAGGTTCAGAGCTCTCGCTCTCCTTGATTCCATGAAAAGTAGCTGATCTGTCGCTATGATCAGCTTTCGACTTTGCGACTACTTTCGCGGGAGTAGGATTACCTTTTATATCGCTACTTTTTTTCTTCCTTACAACCTGTACCCACTCGTCAACGGTGCTGGGAGAAGAAACAACAGTTGCGTCAAACCTAGTGTTGGGTTCTGGAGGGTTGTCGACGACCTGACAGGTCAGGTTATGTTTACCGCTTGAAACCGATCGAGCCTTGCAATTGCGGCTTCTAGGCATTTCCAGTGAGATCCCATCCGGATTTCCCATGCTGTAAGGAGGTTGAACGCACCGAACTTGCTTTTCCTGAACACGTGTTTGGCTTCATGGGGGATGCTGTCGCTATTCATGCATTCTCTTATATGTTCATTAATTAGTCCTTCCTTTATCTTCGACAGTATTGGAAGAACAAGACCGGTCTGTAACATTCTGGGTCTTTTTAATCCTCCCTTCTAAAGTACCTGCTTCCATTCTCTTGAAGGTTGAATATTGTAGCATCCTGGTGACTACCCTGAGTGCAATCATTCCGGAGAACTAAAATATATGAATTACTGAATAGCTTCCAGACACCCAACTGGTACTATAGTTGGGAGGTGTTCTGTGCTTGCAAGTCCCAGGTTTAAGTGACCTATGAGATTGGCAGAAGAGATTTCCAGTATCACCGAATTATTAAGATCACCAATTGGCCCTTCGAAAGCACAGAACCTCATGGCACGTGTGCTTCTTTTAGCTATGAATCTGTAGGGATATTTTTTGGTTAGCTTGGATTTCGTTGATGCTTGTTGTTACAGCTGAGAAGAAACTGGTAATGCGTAGCGGGACTATACTACCTGGTTTGTGGATCCCATCATATTAAAAAAGTAAGACCTTGTTAACTCACTTCTTCATCCGTGATGTTGCGAGATAGCCATGATTCAGTCAAAACTATGATCTTTTAACCCAAATGAAATAATATGTCTCTGATTTTCTTAGTTTACCCCTAAGTTCTCTAACGTTATTATAAAGCCACCGATGAATAATTTCATCATCTAGCTTCCCCGTATAGCAGAATCCGTCTTCCGGCTTTTAAACAGCTTTCCGCTTAAAGCGGATTGGCCAGTTTAGCTGAAGTGGTGCTCTTGTTCAGCATCATTCAGTATTTGTTCCACTGTTCCTTATCATAGGCTGACCTACTTTCTAATAAGCTACTCTCCAACATTAGAACACCAAACAAAATCGGGAAGGTTTGACTAACGTCTTTGCTACCAATTTTTAGAGTTTTGAAAGCCATCTCTTAGCTATTCCCCTTGGCCATTGTTGCGTGAGCTCGGATAGTGGCTCTCATAGTCAAGTCACGTGTTCATTGAACCTGTGATTTTCGATTTAGATATACTGATGGGGAGTGTCAAATTCGATCCCCACAAGGATTTAGGATTCTTTATGTTAGTTCGGTGGGTGCTTTTTCTACATTGTGCGCAAATGTACAGAAGATGCCACAAGTATTTGGAGTTTGAAAACTCTTTTCCCATGAATACCCATTATCAATCGTACCCACCAAGTGAAAAAAAAGACAGAAGCGATGAGGTTCGAAGATATATTTGATAGGC